CCCCCATCTTTTGTTGAGCATTTTCCTTAAGCGACTATTGCGCAACCTAACAGGGCACTTCCAAGTCGAATAATTGTGTGCGGTTTTGGGTGGGAGGAGTGGCGGAAACTTGAACCCCTATTGCTGGAATCTCCAGGTGTTGTTGGACTCCAACAGCCCCCATCAACATGGCGAGATGTTGTCGATGATGGGAGCTGGAGTCCAACACCATCTGGAAGGCCGCATGTTCCCCCCTCTTAATCTTTTGGGATAAACTACGCATCTCCACCGGGTAATGATTGGATATCCTCAGAAACAGGCCTCTGGGAAAACCTCTCTGTCCAAACTGTTTGTGACGACAGGTGAGGTTGGTGGTGCCTCTCCATCCCCAGCCAAAGCAACTTGGCCAAGGAGAATCTCTCCCTCCCTCCCAGACTGAAGCTTCACAGTCACTGGATTAGATCAGTAATCCTCAAACTGCCATGAGAGAGAGCTGCCAGTGTTGTCCCAAGAATTACCTTTTTTAAAAAATGAATTGAATGCAATATTTCCCAACCTAGCTGTCCTCTATCTAGCTGCCGTCAGACTATGATTCCCATCAACCCTGGTGTCCAGGGATGGTGATGGAAAGTTGGGGTGCACCAGGTTGGCCGAAGCTAATTTAATGTCCCTTAGGGGTTATCGACTCAGAAGGCGGACCACTATTTCTGTGGAAGCAGGCAAGGCCAGAACAGAGAGCCATGCCATCGGCTCTGTTCCCAGGGGACTGTCATTGTGTGTGCTCGGACCCACTGCACAGAAGGTGCCTAACTGCCTTCCTCTCTGAGAGATGGTGTCTGTTGTCTCTCAGCATGAGGCACTGTGCTGGACTTGCCTTCTTCGAATTAGGGATGTGCTCTGAGGCTTTGAGCAGATTTGTGCAGTAGCAAAGGAGGTGGGCCTTCTGGGAAGGTGGTCGACTCTTAATCCTGTACACTGGGAGGCCACCCAGAGTGGCTGGGGCAACCCAATCAGATGGGCGGGGTACAAATAATAAAATTGTTGTTGCTGTTGTTATTACTGTAAAAGTGAAGTGGTATATTTTTCCAGGTTCCATTTTAATTGTGAAAAGGATGTTTGGCTGTCAGCCTTTAAATGTTTTTCAACACACCCTCCTTTGTTTAACCTGAGGAAGATTAGGTTTGATGCAATCCCTGGTCATAATTCCAGTTCTTTCTTGATAATTTGACTCCAGTTTCTCTCTCTCTCCCCCCCCCCAGACAAGAAAATTCACAAACTGGATACAGACGATTTGGATGAAATTGAGAAAATAGCAAATTGAATCCCGGTTGCCGGAATTGGTGCACAATCCCTCCCACGGTAGCACTCCTACTGCAATTGGATCGCATCCTGATTGGCACACGTCTTAGCCAGTCACACGCAAAGAGACTTTTTAAAGATAACAAATACACAGAAATTACCTCAACTTTAAAAAAAAAGAAAAAAAGAGTGTGGCTGGACTTGATTTTTAAAGAAGTACAAACTTTGGAGAAAGAAGAAATGTTTACAACAAATTTTAACTTCCTTTTTTATTTTTTAGTTTAGCCTTAAAATGGGAAGATATCTTAAATTCTAAAGATGATGCCAAAAACATAGCCAATCACTAAGTAGAGGAGAGAATCAGACACACCTGCTTTTGATCTCTGTCAAGAGAGGAGCAACATTTTAACCATGGCCAAGCGGTATATTAAATGTTCCAACAACCCAGTTGTATATAGAGAGGACCTTCCGTTCTTTGACGGAGAGATCTTCGCAGTCTGGCAAAAAGGAGTTTTTATGAAATGGCATTTTTCACTTAGAGCTTTCTGTTTCCTAGATCTCTGCAGATCACACTGCTAATTCCTTAGATAGGTGGTCCAGAGGTAATTGCTCTTCAGTAGGCTGAACAATCACCTGATTTTTAACTTCTCCCTTGCAAGGAACATGCCCTAGGAACCGTATTCTAACCTGCTGACCTGCAGAAGCTTTGGGACTCCAAATTCACAGCAGGCAGCATGGGTGCTGTAGTCAAAATATGATGGGTGTGATAGTCCAACTGCATCTAGGGAGGTCCTATACTGACCACCCCTGTTCTATGGAGTCTTGAGATCCTCGGTCACCACGCAGGACTACCCAGAGCTGCTTGAGGGGAGAGCTGTTGCTTTTGGATTTTTATTTTTATTTTTTGTTCACAGGGTTGGCAGAGGCAGTGTCTGCTGTAGGTTTTGGAAGGTCAGGCACCCTTTGTGAGCCTGCTTTCTCATTGCTACAGGTCCAGGAGCCTCTTTTGGCTCTCAGCAATGCATGGTCATGCCAGCCTTTGTGGTACCCATGGAGCTGTCTTTGTATTTAAAATGCTGTTGTGGCGAAGGATGCCAATTTAGCACAGCGGATGTAGGGTGTATTATCAGTTCTGCCATACCATAAAAGACAACCTGCACTACTTCGGCCAGGAAAAGGGATGAAGAGGTTAATCAGCAAGTCCTCCGTTGTGTCAGAGTATTGGGTAGATCTGCACTTTGCAAGCAGGGAGCAATGAAGAAGTAGAGGAGGATGGATTAAATATTTGTTGGTTGCGTACCCCCATCGCCTAAGGAAAAGGATTGCAAAGGATGGCTCCTACTCTAGCAATGCAACTGCAAAGCCAGTATAACCTCTTTCCTGGGCCTTGTTTCATTCCCATCGTAAAATCTGCCAGCAGGCTGCATTTTAGACAGGTATAACAATTCCAAGGCCACCTGGTTTCCAGGCTAGACTGTCTAATAGGCCAAGTTGTATTCCTGGCCTCTGTAGCAGCTGATCTGGAGGCAGGGGAAGCTCAGTCTTATCTTTGTGCCCTTCTGACACAAGGTGTGGCCGATTCCGGAAATCCATCTAGAACAGGGAATGGTGGACGTCGAACTGTCTAGGCCAATTCAGACTAACTTCTGTTGCAGCACAGCAAAAAGGGAACTTGGTTAGCAGTGTAAGACTGAAATGTTAATGTGGTCAGGCAGGAAAAGGGATGCATTGTGGGGCCAAAGACTTCTTGTACTAATGCAGTTTTTAAGTAGGTTTTATCTTGAAAGTGGGGCAGTTCCCCCAACCTCATGACAGTTGGAGGATCGGGACAACCCCCTACTTGGCACAGGAATCTTTAAAAAAAACCTAATAAATGGTACATTTTGTGGATTTATCCATATCCTTTTTTAAAATGTCATTTTAAATTTTTTAAAAGAACATTCCAGTTGTTAACTTCTGTTCAATGATGGAAATGTGGAATCTAAATCTAAATATATACTTTAGGAAGTGGACAAATGCAGACTCCAATCAATTTGTGTTAAACGGCTTTAAGAAGTGGTGGAGCCGTTAAAAAAACAATACATACCAACTTTACCAGGATATATCTATTTTTCTTCCTTGCAAGGGGGACAGCTGAGTGTGTGCTTTTTTGTGGCAGAGGCTATTCAACCACTTTCTTTATGTAGAACTGCCGAGTTACAATATTGAGAGCATTGTGCTGGTCTTGAATGGGTGGGCCTGCGTGGTTTTCCTAATGTACTTTTCAGTTGGAATAAAGAACCCAAAAGACTGAAATGTAGTCCTCGCTGCCTTTCTCATTCAGGTAGACTACTTTTTTTCAGCCAGAGTTGACAATTGTGTGTGTCTGTATTAACAACCAGCTTTGCAGCACTGGACTGGGAGCGGGGGGCGGTAAGAAAAGCATCAAGGCAAGGAATTTCATTGCAGCATGGCTTTTGGAAGCCAACTAAAACATTGCAAAATAACAGTTTAAAAAAATTATCCCAGGACTGTACTTCAGGAGGGATGTTGAGCAAACTGGGCAAGATGAGGTGGGTCTCATGTTTAAGTCTTAAAGGCTGTAGTTTGTATACATCTTAAGGTTTATTGTCAGTGTAGACAATAATGAGCTAGACCAGGGGTAGGCAACCTAAGGCCCGGGGGCCTGATGCAGCCCAATCGCCTTCTCAATCCGGCCCACGAACAGTCCGGGAATCAGCATGTTTTTACATGAGTAGAATGTGTGCTTTTATTTAAAATGCATCTCTGGGTTATTTGTGGGGCATATGAATTCGTGCATTCCCCCCCCCCCAAAAAAAATAGTCCGGCCCTCCACATGGTCTGAGAGACAGTGGACTGGGCCACGGCTGAAAAAGGTTGCTGACCCCTGAGCTAGACTGACCAATGATACGACTTTCTGTAGGAGACTGAAATAGATTAGACCATGCTAGATTAGACTGTGGTGGGTGCAAAACAAGATTCCTGGCTACATCAGCCATAGTTGTTTACTAATTCTTTTTTGGAAAACATAAGAACTAACTGATAGTTCTGGAGACCATCAGAGTTAAGGAGAGACAGCAGAAGTAATGGAAAATGGGGTTCGGCATGCCACCTAAGTACAAGGAGTTGTCTCCAACTTAATTCTACTATCGAAACCAATGGGTGGTACCCAACTAACTTGGTTCCATCAGTGCAAGGATTTCAATTTGTGCAATGGACATTCCCGCTCTCCCTGTATGGTCCCTGTGTCCTCCCCAAATGGGAAACCACAGAGCAGATTTCTATTGTGCAAATTGAAATCCTTGCACTAACAGGATGCATTAGATATGCTGGGCAGGATCCAACTATGTCCCATCAATTTCAATGTATCTGTTCTTGAGTAGGGCTAAAACTGAAAACAACCTGCTTTGTTTGACAACACAGGTGAAGATGGCTGTGTTACCTTTGAGCTCAGGGGTACTGAGATAGTTGTTGTTAAGCACCAGATCTTTGATGAAGACACCTCTTGAGCTGGTCCAATGTGCTTACCATTAGCCACCTTGACCTTCTGTCAAGAAGGAAAGTGGGATAGAAACTATAAAAGTGGGGTGGGGACCTTTGGTGCCTGCTCAGTTACCCACTCAAGTATTGTGTGTGTGTGTGTGTGTGTTTGTCTTTGTGCGTTTGTGTTTGTGTGTTCCAAATTGTTAATCTTGCAGCACTAAAAAATTAGGCACTCAAAATGAACACTTGCCTGGACAAAACTAGTCCAGTACACCCAGAATATATTTATTGTATCTAACAGCACACACAACATATATTCAAATTATACTGAAGTGCAAAAAGCATACTTTCCCACCCTCCATCCAGGAAACTGTTCCATTGCTTTAAGCCTTGGTTGTTTTCCCCCCTTGACATTTTCCAGGTTTTTCTTTTTCTACTGTTCCCATGGGGGAGACAAGCTTTCAGGCCATCAGATTCCAGGCCCCTTTCAATGGTCCTTGTCGCTGTAATTCTGAAAATATTCGGCTCCCCTCTACCCTGAGAGGGCTCCCCCCACCCTCCAAAATCAGAAACCAAAGTCAGCATTTGTTCACGCAGCCCAGAGGTCATCTGCCTATATATGGAATAGTGCTATCACGTAGGTGACAGTTTCATATATGGAGCAGAATCAAGTGGTGAAGTCTTTCTGGACTGCCTTCTCGGGCTGGGGACAGGGTTTGACAATACTCTCCTACAAAGATGGAATTGGGAATTAGACCAGTAGCCTCCCAGAGATGATTTACTGAGTGCATGGGGAGGCAAATGATGCGGTCCAAGGGAAGCTTCGCCGCTTAAACCTATGCCATGTAGAAACTGACCCTAAGCTGGAATGACTTCTAAGCAAGACCACTGCCACCGCTCCTCTTGGGTGAAGAAAACACATTTTGTGCCCCACACCCATGGTGCTGCTGGTCAAGCAAACTTGGAGCAAACCAGGCTGCTCATACAACACTCTTCCTTGTGTCTCTGCACTATAACCGCTGCTAGGTAGAAAAGGAAGTTTTCCCCATCATTCTTGACCCTGCTACATGAATCAGGAAGGTGAATGTGGGCTCTCAGGATCAGGCCTTGCCTCGTGACTGCAGGCTAATATCTTGTCCAGACATGGCATTGCTGCCTGTCACCCAGGTGTCTTATGCTGATGGCCCAGGATGCCCTGCATTCTTTCACCTCTTTCTGCCATGCCTGTCATACTTTGGGGTACTGACACGTCACCTCATTCCACCTTGCTGTTGTAGGCATCTCTGTTTCCCAAAGGACCCACTCACCTTTCAGAAGCGGGAAAAGCAAGCGGAAGGCAGGCCTCTTTGCAAAGAGAGAAACCCAGTAGCTGTAACTGAAGCAAGGCTGGGCACTCTACTAGTCTCGCCTGTAAAGATGTGAGAGCAGAGATGGCCACTGTGGTGGCCCTATAGCTGCTGCTGAATTCCACCTTTCATCAGACCCAGCCAGCAAGGCCAATAGTCAGGGATGATGGGTACTGGAGTCCAGCAGCAACTGGAAGGCCCCAAGCTGGCTGTTCTTGAGTTAGAGCAAAGAGGTGAGGAATGTCTGCCCCACTCAGCCCAATCCTCATTTGTGTCAAAGTGATGCAGGCCCTGGCCTAACTTTTAGCAGCTGCCATCAAAGTGAAGGTCCTACCAACCTCCAAGGTTCATTTGGCCATCTCGGCAAGGCAAAAGTGAGATTGGATAAAGAGGAATTAACACTCGGAAGCAGAATGTTTTGGCAAGCTGTGTACTTAGAGCTTAACCCACCCCGACCTCTCAATAATACTAAGATTTCAAATCCTGCATGTGAACAGAAAGCTTTTTAAAAACATTTAAACACAGATTTTTAAAAAGAATATAAATGGCATTTTGATAAACACAAACAGGTTAAGATTCATTTAAAAAATAATAATGAGAAAGCAGCTTTCAGGAAAAGCCCCTTGCTCATCCCCAAGCAAAACTCGATTGATAACAGAATACTGAAATCGACACACGTTTGCAATTAACTCATTTTTGTTTCAAAAAAGCAAAGGTTCTGTTACCTGTTACCAAACAACACTCAACATTCAAATTTGCACTGGATAAGCCCACTTAGCTGGGATCTTTCCAGTCTAATTTGTGCCATAATCTTGTGAAAGGAACATCTGATTAACAATACAGCAACAAACTGGTAGGCTGAACTAATGCAGCTGTCATAAATCTTGGCTTTTTCCATGGACGAGAGAGAGAGAGAGCAAGTGTTGGGGTCAGTTGCACTTCCATCAAAGCAAAAAACTATTTGGATCTTGACTGGAAGAACTTGGGGGAGGGGTGGGATGGAGAGAAGAATTGGTCACAATCACCAGAACCTTCTCCTGCACAACCCCTGCTGAAAAGAAGTTTTGCAAACGGATGACAACATCGTTAAATGGAATTTGTGCAAGAGACATTCCTGGGGGGCCAGCTTTTTATATCCATCTTTCCCCGTCCACTCATCTTAAAATTCACATTGGTGTGGGGAAAGGATCTATTCCTGGAGCCAAACAAATATCACAAACCAATCCCTTCCACTGGAATAAAGGAATCAGGATTGTAAGACTTCCCTGGAGAACAGGCCATTTTGAAAACAACTCAGCAAACCTACAAAATGCAATGGGGGATATGGGAAGCTGGGAGGGGTGGGGTGGGGTTTTCAATGCAAAGCTTCAATGCAAAGCTTAAGAAACAAAATGGTCCTGCACAGGGAAGAGCTTGTGGGCGGGGTGGGGGGGAGTGCTACACCAGAGAAAAGGCGTCAGCTGGATCTAGAGATCCACTCTCCAATGGCATTTAATGCAAAGAACAGCCTCTGGACGCTTACAGCTCCCCCTCTTGCGACTCCTGTAGGATACACAACACTGACTTGTGAGGGATCCCGCACTCTTGCAAGGACTTGGTGAGGTCCGCGAAGGTCCTCCGAGGCACTTCCACTGTTTCAATGCTGCAGCGTCTGTACACGACCGAGTTCTTTTGCTCCGCCACTGTAAGGACGGTTTTCAAGCTGTCCGTCGGCCTGAAGTGATGCTCAAACCTGTGACCTGAAGGAGACCTGATGGCGAGAAGCAACCTCGGCTCCTTCTCGCTGGGCTCTTCCAAATTCAGCACGGGATGGGCCCCTTCCCTTGTTTTACTTCGGGGCTTTGTCTCCAGAAGAGGAGGTGGATTCTGAGCGTATTCTCCGCCGCCCCCTTTGTGTTTTGCCATGATATCGGTGGAGGCTTTCCCCACCAGGGGAAGAAGCTCTTTGAAGCCTTGCTCTTTCTCTTCTGGTTGGGGACTCCCTTGGAGCTGACCAGCCGGCTCAGACATCATCTCCACGGCACCCTTCCGCAGTTCTTTCCTGCTGATGGATGGGAGCACTCTGTACTTGTTTAAGGAGGAGGAAGTTCTCATGGGCACCTGCTGGAGAAGATCTGGGATTTCAGCAGGGAACACCTGAACAGGCTGGTACAGCTGCTGGGTCGACAAGGTCTTTCGGCCACTTGCAGCATCTTCGCAGGGAGCTAATGGCTGAGGAGACGATGGCACCTGGTAGGAGTAGGCTTCTATGCTGTGGGAGTAATTCAAGTTGGACCTCGTGCGCCCCTTTGCAGATTTTGGCCGGGTGACATGCATGCTGAGGGAGTGTGGCTGCCAGATGGGAGGCTTCGCAATGCCAAAGGAGGTCTTCCGTTCAGAGGATGAGATGTTCAGGTGCGAGGCAGCAGCCATTGCTTTTCAGGAGACCTGGGGAAACAAAAGTCAGAAAGGGCCAGGCACCACCTGGCTTGAAGCAGCCTGCTTTCACTTCCTGCAACAGACCACTTTTCAGCCCAGCTGAATTAGACTTTGGGCTGGGCTGACAGGAATTCATATGAGCCTGCCACTTTACACCGGAAGGACAGCACTAATCTATCAACTCCTCCAGTGGAGTGCAGTCAGTGGACTAGGGGGACTAGGCTAGCTCCCTAAATGTTCTCCTGGCACCTCCTACCCAAAACCCAGGAGCCTGAATGTGACATGAGGAAGGGTAAAGGGGGGAATTATGTCAGTTACACTTTTTCGGGCATTAGTTTCAGGAGGCTGACTTGGAATAGAAGCAAAAGGGTTGTAGCTCTCCCATCCACCTCGTGGGCTTCCCTGGCTGGGTACTGTGGGAACAGAATACTAGAATATTTTAGTGAAGACTGCTTGAACATGACAGCCACTGTCATGTGGAAGGTCCAGAGGACAAGACTTTGCCCAGGCAGGCATTATGATGGCACCTAAGTGTAGCGCTGCCTTCCTGTGTGCTTGTTTCTGCAGCCCTATTATGCCTGCTCAACTTTGCAAGCAAATAGGTTATGAAAAAAGGAAACTAAAAGGCTTATGTTGTGCATAGATTGACTTCTCAGGTTTATTCTGCAGCTTCCTCAGGGCCAGAACACGTCAGAATTAAAAGACATAAGCTAAAGCATCCCAGGATATTTCAGGAACCAGTTAAAGCTTTGTCATTGAAGGTCATGTTTGGGAAAAGTTCAAAAGCAAACCAAAACACTCACATGCAGAAGATGCTCCATCGGCTCAAAAGGACTGACGGCTCAAAAGCTCCAGAGGATCAAACAGGCCAGTCAGTCTGAGAGGATCTCCGCCTGCACCTCCAGGGAGTTGCAGATTTTCAACCCTGAAACCAAGCAAGAGAAAAGAAGGACGGAGATGACATTTCTCTCTGTGAGAAATCTGTTAATCGTCCTCTAGAGGCCAAGGCAAGTATTGGAACTGCCCATTTCCAGCAGGGTCCCGTGCTTCTAGAAGCTCACGACAGGCAGAAATCCAATAGGTATAGCTTTTATTGAATTAAACCTCTTAAAAATAGAGGGTCTCTGCAATGAAAAACAGGAACAGATTCTTAATGAGCACTGAAGGCAGCCCAAGGCAGATGCTGGGCTGGGGGAAGTGCCCTCTGCGCCTAGCCCTCATTCCATCAACTGTTGCTGCTGGTGGCAGAGAGCCCAAAGAATACTTTGACTCATCTACAAAGACAGAGTAGCTGCATGCAGTCCATCTCAGCATTAAACCCATTGAGATCACAGGCCATAAACATGCCTAACGCCAGGCTGGATTTTGACATTCTGGCTTAAGCAAGGAAAAGAAAAGAGTGCCACCTCCCTCTTGATTGACATTATTCCTCATGACTGCATTAGAGCAAGAGACCCCAGCAGCTTAGCAGTCTCCTGGACTTCTTTTATGCAACTCCACTGCACATCACAAAGTCTCTGTGAATTGAAAGTGGAGACGCTATATGTACTTTTCCTTGTTTGTTTGTTCTGTAACACAAGAAAATCTTTAATAAAAAATAGGGACGCGGGTGGCGCTGTGGGTTAAACCACAGAGCCAGGACTTGCCGATCAGAAGGTCAGCGGTTCGAATCCCCGTGACGGGGTGAGCTCCTGTTGTTCGGTCCCAGCTCCTGCCAACCTAGCAGTTCGAAAGCACATCAAAGTGCAAGTAGATAAATAGGTACCACTCTGGTGGGAAGGTAAACGATGTTTCCATGTGCTGCTCTGGTTCGCCAGAAGTGGTTTGTCATGCTGGCCACATGACCCGGAAGCTGTACGCCGGCTCCCTCAGCCAATAAAGCGAGATGAGCACCGCAACCCCAGAGTCGGTCACGACTGGACCTAATGGTCAGGGGTCCCTTTACCTTTACCTATTTTTTTAAAAAAGAGTTGGTACCTTGAATTTGCTGCTAATCCTCTCCTCTCGCCACCTCTTCCTCCTTTCCCATGGGTGTAGACAAGGGGGGCGGAGAGGCAGGGAGGGGCAACTCAAAATCAATAAAAATACATAGCAAAATGAGGTTCTGCCCCCCCTAACAAAAGGCCTGCCCCCCCAAAAAAAATCCTGGCTATGCCCATGCCCTTTCCTATTATGTGATTTCTTCTTTTTTATGTTTCCTGAGCATTATTTGACATTTTAAACCACCTTAAATATTTGGGTAGGAAGGTGACATATAGATATAGTTTAAAAACTGATGCATCAAATTTGCATATCTAAAACAAAGGTTGCGAAGAAAAAGAGATACTTGTGAATTTAAACCAATGAACCAGGTGTTGCTTAAATGACACATCCATGTGTCACTCCCAACAGGTATCGTCTTCCTCCTGTGTGAGATGGAAGGGGGCATCTGCTACCTGCAATGCTTATGTTAAAAATAATTCATGAGGAATGTCTCTTAAGACAATTTTAAAAGGTTTTACCTGACTAAAAGTTGCTGCTCTACAACCAAAGAATAAGTGTAGTGGAGGCACTTTTTTTAAAAAAGCACAAAAGTTAATGGTTGTCGAACTACAGGGATGGACATCCCCAGCAGGGGAGACACATTTCTTCCCTTTATACATTAACAGCAGCACGATTTGTGCCCATCTGTTTATTTACATCTATTTAGACAACTTTCCAAACAACACTCACAGCAATGCAAAACTAAATTAAAAATATACCATCACCACATAAATATACAAGAGATCACTTTAAGCACCATATTCAGTGCAAGCTTACAAGGGAAAGCAGCAATACAAATACTCCCACCTTAAAAGTCAAGGCACTTTGAGATGTCAGTTGAAAAGTAAGCTGAGAGAAGAGTTGTTTTTCTTTTTTATTCCTTCTGGCAAAAAACACTGGGAGAAATGAAGGCCTATCTAAATCAGGAATAGGAAAACCTTTGTCAGCCTGAGAAACACATTCCCTTCTAGGCAAACTTCTGGGGGCAGGATTCCAGCACTGGGCAGAGCCAGAGGCAAAAGTGGGCAAATTGATGCATGTGAATTTCACCTTTCTCCAGGTGGCTAATTTCAACACAGACTCACACACCCCTCACACGATCATCCATCCAAGCCATCAAAAAGCATTGCAAGACTTCAAGGACACATTCCGGCCAGGCAAAAACACTCATGGAGGGTGCAGAGTAGTGGCAGTGAGAGGTGTGGCAGGGGAGGGGGTGTGAATTGGGGAGAGTCCCAAGGGCCAAATAAAAAGGACTGGGTGGGCACATCTGGCCCTTGGGCCTGAGGTTCCCCACCTAAAGAGACTGTACCACAGAGTGATACAGTGTGCGCTCCTCCCCAATACATACCAGAATTCTGGTATGTAACTCCTTAAAAGATGGCAGTCAGAGTAGAGGATTTTCATTATGGATCTGAGTCTGGAGGGAAACTTGGGAATGAAAATGTTTTGTGATGCATGCTGGGGATAAAGATTGCAGGGTTTTGAAAGGTGGGAATCAGCTCTTTGGAGTCAGAAGGAGACTGATCATGTAGGCTTCCTAGTCACTAGCAGAAACCTTCAAGGAAAAGTGCTCTCCCCAAATTTTGGGTACCCACCCTCATAACAACAAATCTGAGATGAGGGCCATCCAAATTTACAGCCCTTCACTGTCTCTAAATATCAGCTGCCTTTATGATCAAGGTAGAAGACGTCTCCAGGGCTGTGGCCCTGGTGTCCTCTTAACAGACCTTCAGCTAAGACCTTACTTTAAATAATGGCTTGACCTTTTAGTGAACACTACTTTTCATGTAATGTTACTTCAGACTATTTTTAATGCTAATTTAACAGTTTTTATGTATGAATTTCTTTTTACTGTGTATGACGTTTAAAAGTTTTAAAATTGACTTTTCACGAACTGCCTTGAACTTCCAAAGTAGCAGGCAGGATATACATGTTGAATACACGTACACATTTTGGGTTGTATTGTATCTACTCAGAGCACAACCACTGAAAATAAAGGGCGTGAATAACTTAGGTCAATCACTTTCAATGGGTCTACTCTGATTAGAACTTAGATGGCTACAACCTTCTGAAATTAAACCTATTTTGAAGCTGCCTTCCCATCCAGAGCATTTCAATTTCACCCCAAAAACTGTTAGTCCAAAGAGTAATTACCAATCCTGCTGCTTTCACAAAACTGTACAAAGAAAACAAAGCTCTTTTTCACCTTATGCCTTTTTGTTTTCTCACATCCACAAAAAATGGGGAAAGAGTCTGTAGCAAATGATGAACTCCGCTCTTGTGGGCAAGTCTGGGGCACTGCTGCTGCCTTGTTCCAACTGACAATGGCACAGCACGCATCCATATCTGCCAGCTATATATAATAGGGGAAAGGGCCCCATTGACTTGGGTTGCAATAAAAGGTGTAGGAACCACCAGCTGGCCACAGAGGCCAGGCTCACCAAGACAATCATCTACTGCTGTCTTGGAGGGGGGATGTAGAGTAAAAAGAGTAGGTGTGTTTGTGTATTAAGCTTAATATGCCAAGCAACAGATATAAACTCCAAGGCAGCACAATCAATACAAAGCATTTTATGTGCCATGTCATGGAGAAAACACATACAAACAGGAGTCCAAGCCACATCTAATCTCAGTCCAAAAGAAAAGAGCATACAGATGAGGATTAAAAGTGAGTTCTCCCATTCAGTTTTACACTCCTAGAATCCATCTGAATACCATCTCGGTTAGAACTTTATAAACAAATATTTGCTGTTTCAAAACGAATGTGAGGCAGACTTTTAAACCTATTCATTCGACAACATTTATATACCACTTGAATGTAAAAGAAACCCCAAACATCTAAATGGTTATGTTGAATTGCTTCATAAAAGCTGTTAAAGCAAGTATGTAAAGGACTCAATAGATTAATTTAAATCAACAGTAGCTAAAAGGAGAAAGAATACACATAACTTCTGCATGTCTGGATAGGCTTTCCTGAACAGAAATGTTTTAAGCACAGTGCAGGGAAGGCACCTGCCTGATGTTGATAGGCAGGCAGCTTCAAATGTGCTGCCAGCGAAAATAATGATTTCTTACAAGTGCAGAACAGGTATTATGAGGCACCAGTAGAAGCCAGTTCCACAGACTGAAGCAGCCGAGTGAGCATATAGGGGGAAAGGCAATCCCTTCAAGTAAACTGGTCCCAAGTTGTTATGGGATTTATATACTAATAGTAGCACACTGAATTCTGACCAGTAGCAAATGTGCAGCCAGTGCAGATCTCTAGTGCAGATCTCCGAGCAGAGGTGTGATATGCTGACAGGGTCTCATTCCTGTCAGCAACCGTGCGGCAACTTTCTGCACTAGCTGCAATTTCCAGATAAAGTGCAAGTGAAACCCTACAGAGTACATTACAGTAATCCAATCTTCAAGTCACCAGTGCCTGAACTACTGTAGACATGCTCTTCCAGTTCAGGAATGACCATAGTTGTCGCTCATGCTAAAAGGAACTTATGGACACTGAACATTGATAATTCTCAAACTTTTGTGTAATATTAAATGTAAGGCGGTGGAGGCTGGAGAAAAGGCTTTTAAAAAAGAAAGGGTGGAACATATCCAGCAGTAATTTGCACCTATTTGCATTTATTCCCACCCACCCCTTTCCCCCAAGGGGCTCATGGTGGCATAAATCCCCACTCCACCCTGCTTTATTTCACAGCAACCCTGTGAGGTAATTTAGGCAGAGTGTGTGACTGACCCAAGGTAGAGATTTAAACATAGAGCTTCCTAGTCCTAGCCCTGTAACCTCTATACACACTGGCTTGTAAAATGTCAGGTAGCTGTGCTGATCGAGAAAAGGGGAAATTAGAAAACACAATTAGGCTATAACAAACTGCAGGCTCTGGGGCTTTTCCATCAGCCCTGGAGCATTTCTCCCCCACACCCTACCAACCCTTTTGGAACATGAATAGTCTAGCCTGATGAAGGGTTCTGTGGAACTCAAAGGTATACTCATGGCTTTGTGACCTTTTAGTTGGTTCCAATAAAGGCCTCATTTTGGTTTGCACCTGTCTCGCCTTTAGTTGCCTTTTCCACAATGCGCAGTGAGATTTACTGGACCAACAAGTGCTTTCCAAAGGGCAAACTACTCTTGTGGCAGGACAAAATCCCAAACCCTGGTAGGAGCAAGAATGATCTGAGCAGAGTGTACAACTTGGACAGCCTGACAGATTCTTCTGTGCCCCTCATTCTATACTCACAACACTTCCATGAAGCCACCTCTCTTCCCCCTGCCTGTTCAGATCCAGAAAACTAATCAATCACTGCTGGCTTTTCTACTTTCTACTTTTCAGACTGCAAGCTCCTTCTGGCAGAGAACTGTCGTCTGTTGCTTATGCAAAGTATACTGATCCATTTCCTTTACCCCTTAATTGAAAATTTATGTGTCCAAAACTAAGGATGCAACTAATCCAGAGGTGGGGAACTTGTGTCCTTCCGACTCCAGCTCCCATCAGGCCCAGCCAACATAGCCAATGGTGATGTATGAAAGGAACTGAAGTCCAGCAGCATCGAGAAGGTCACAGATTCCCTGTTAAGGTCCTCATCTGATGCATTGCTCTATTTACCTTCCCTTTTTGCCTGCCATGGAGGAGACGGTGGCTACCAGTGGTGTGGCCTTTTTAGCACTGGCACCTCATCTATGGAATTCCCTATTCAACCGGCATCAAATCTAAAAACGTTTTTGGCTCTTCTAGATAAAAATGTGTATTGGCGCTCTCAACAATCTATGACAGGTTTGGGGTTTTCATATGTTTCCTGCTAGTGTGTGTGTGTAGTTTAATTGAAATACTTCTATATGCCACCTTGAAAGTGTTGCTGGTCAGCAAGAACTGTCTGGGGATTAGGTGAATTGCCTGTTTGGTCACTAGCCTTGAAAAAAACAGGTTCACCTCTTGAAAGTTCTCCTAGACCCAACACTGCTCTTCATCACCCAAACGGCAGCTGTGGCCAGGAATGCATTTTGCAGTGTCAGCTGGTATGCCAGCTGTGCTCTTCCTGAAGTCTGATCCATTTGCCGTTGACACAGCTAAACTGGATTAGTACAACCCCCTCTATGTGACTTCACTGTTGCACCATTTTACTATCTCCCATTTTGTTTACATCTCCAATTAAAAGTGCTGATTATAACTGCAAAGCACTACCCAGTTTATGACCAGCATAATTGAAGGATCACTTCCTCCCACTCAGATCTTTGGCAGAGGCCCCGATCCATGCCCCAGCACCATCCAATTTGTAGTTGATGAGTAGGTAGAAGGGTATCAGGGGCTTCTCTATTGGGGTGCCCGAGGTTCAGAGTTCTCAGCCCCAGCTAGCCCCATCATTGATGACACTTTCACACCCTGTGAAAAACATATCTGTGCCATTGGGCCCCTTTGGCCTAAATACTTAATCCCACTCCTTTTCATTCCCTGTCCTTCCTAATTCTGACACTTTTTCATTATGCTAATAATATGTGCTATTTTTGCATGGTTTTAAGTGGATAGTTGTTGGCCATGTTGGAGGCCCTGTTACTGGAAAATAAAGTGCAGAATAAAAATATTTTGATAAAAATATACTCACGTTATATTTTAAATACACATACATAAAACCAGATAAACAAACATTAAAATATAAAACAGCCAATAATTATAATATACAGTAGAACAATCCCAAACAACACAGTCATTAAAACAGGATGTTCACATACCTATTGCACACCATAGTAAATAAACACTAATACAAACAACCTTCCAGAAAAACTGCCACATTTTATGCAATGTAAGTAACAACTAAACAAAGCATTGTATTTAGGCTTAATTTCAATGAAGCAAAATATAAATGTTGCAAAATAAATAAAATTCAGCATCAAAACAAACATGGCACATAAAAACTACAAAAACACACACATATGCACAAGGAAAATCCTACACTATATCAGGGGGAAAACTGAGCAAAAAAGAAAAGTGAAAATGTAAACATGATTTACTAAGTGAGCAACTTAAGGTATTTTTAAATCCACAGATGAGAACAGGCCAAATAACAAGTATAAGACCAAATCCATGCCATACTTTTAAAAGCACACCCAACTCACATTTAAAGCACGTGGCTTCCCTGAAAGAATCCTGGGAACTGTAGTTTGCTAGGGGGTGCTGGGAACTGTAGTTCTGTACTGGGAAAACTACCGTACCTTTTCCGATATTCTCCAAGGTAAAGTCATGCGCTTTTAAATGTAGGACATGCAACTGCCCCAATACCGTGCGTGCGTGAGTTTCTATGCACGTTTGCCACTCAGCCTTTGCCAACCCGGTGCCCTCCCAGAAGAACTTTTGGACCAGAACGCTCACCAGCGCTGATGGGAGTCGTAGTCCAAAACTTCCAAGAGGGCACAGAATTGGCAAAGGCTGGTCGTATCTCATACGCGCGCATGCTCGGTCTCTCCCACCACCCAGCGATAGGGAGGAGGCCTGTTGTGGGGCTCCTCGCGGAGGAGGCCGAGGCCCCCCGCTCCCGAGGCGAGAAAGGGCGGGTGGCGGGGCCCAACCCGGCCGCGTCAGGTAAGGCAAGGGGAGCCTGGCGCCAGGCCTTCGCCCGCCCTCTCACCTCGCAGCGGCTCCATCCAGCAGCCCTTCTCGCTACCTCGCCGCAGGTCCGGTCCTCCTCGGTGGTAAACAGCGCCGCGTTTCCACGGCAACGCCCGCCAGTAGCCTACTTCCGGCCTTGACCGGAACAAAGCGCAGCCTCTCCATCCACGGCTGAAGAACGTCCTAGAGAGGCCGAAGCGGGTATAAGCTATGTGGGTGGGCGAGGGCCAGTTCTAGGATATGGTTTTCTATGGGCGTGGAGTAGCGTCGCTCTAGCCTTCGTCACCTCCGTGGTAAACAGGGGAAGAACTCTGGAATAAACCAAGAGACACGGAAAGAGGAAAGGGGCGATGAAAAGAGTGCGAACTGGCTGGATGTGGGCTGTGAGCAGGAGCTGAGGGTTAATTTAAAGGGAATTTTCTCTGGAGATATCAGCACCTGCAATATTAGCAGTGGCCTGCCACTCACTTCCGAAAGTAGTAAATGAAGAACGTGGACTACATTGCAGGGGTGTTGTGCTCCAGTTTTCTCTTTTGTAATAATTATTTATACTTTTCAAGTTTATACATTTCACTAATTTTACAATCATTTTGACATTTCAAAGCTTTTCTTCCTTCCCTCTCTTTCTTTAAATTTATTTTTAATATATTCTCCGTATCCAAATTAACTTAATTTGCTCATTTATTCATCTTCTTTAAATATATACTCTTATGAAGCTGCAGGTTATTACAATAATCCTGCCAATGTTCTTATCTGTTTACAATTTATCTGTAAATATTCAATAAACCATTTCCATTCTTTTATTTAAAAATTGTTATCTTGATTTCTTATTCTTCTGGTACGTTTCGCCGTTTCTGCATATTCCAAAAGTTTTTGTATCCATTCTTCATTTGCTGGGACTTCTGCTTCTTTCCATTTTGGGGCAAGTAACATTTTTGTCGCTGTAGTAGCGTACATAAATATGTTTCTATACAGTTTAGGTGGTTCTGTCCCTATAATTCCCCAAAGAAAAGCTCAACCCACCTGCCTTTGCCTGGAGCTTGGTGGGCATAATAGTACTGAGCAACACTGCAGGGCAGTTTCAGTCCGTTTTGTCCAGATTTCCCCCTTATTACAGAAAACCCAGCACGTAAAAATCACTCATTAAACATCTGCAGCCACTGGCAGTGTGTACATTTGTTTGCAGGTGCGTAAACAGCTTATCGCATTTGTGGTGATGTTTCATGGGCTGTTTTTATTTTGCCACACCCTGAGCTCCACCTCTTACTCTGCATCTGGTGTGCTGCTGCTCGTTTGAGAAGCTGTGTACACACCATGTTGTTGGGATGTTAATGCTGTGAGCCCCTCCAGCGTACGCTCTGGTTGTATATGCTCTTTGTAAATACATCCATATATCTTAAAGACACCACAGTCTCTGCTGACCCCCATTCCAAGGAAACCAAATCTGGGTACCAGTAAGTGCAAGAACCCTTGAAGTGCCTTGCCATTCAGAGATTGGAGTATGTGCAACAATATGGATTGTGGCTAATGGCCTATTTATTTCTGCTGGGATTCTGTCACCAAAGAGTCCTTGACCCAAACCTGGATCTTGGCATCCAGGCAATTCTCCTTTTTATACCTATAATTATTTTTTCCTGTACCAACAGATTCCAACCTCATAGTCACAGTACCACAGGTTTGGAAGGGACCGAGACTGACTTCCCAAACCCATAACAATAACTATCCTGTATGTAGCCCATGGTTTCTTATGAAATAGTGCATTTTTGATGTACTTTCTCCCAAGGTAGATTTGATCCAAACTGATAAAGTGAATGACCTAGCTGTGTTTTAAACTGATAATGTTTCTGATGACCTGTTGGCCTGTTTCTGATCACCCAAACTTTGCAGTCTTTCTAATCCCAGCAACTGCTGCATGCTGAAAGCACATTCATGAGCCTTGTGAATCATTATGGAGATGGCAATACCTCTGTATTTAAAAATAACAATTTATCAGCCCATTACGCATCCCTAAGCCAGCTTTTTAGGAGTGAGCAGCAAGATACTGAATCATTCAGTGTGATTAAAACATACAAATCCAGATGAATGCTGAATAAACAGGTTTTATGGAATTGGTTTTGCTGAAGTTGTTGCCATGAGATTTATTTACGTAATCACTGAATGTTTTATCTTTGAAATAACTATTCTTTCTTTTCTGCAAATAAAATAACTGATTTACTAAATTGTTTTTGTTTCATGGGGATGAATCTTGCTGGAAGGTTGCTAAATTGACTTGTATTAGCTTAATTGTTTTGCCTTGTTTTATTGCTTTGACGTGAGTTTGCTCATGATAAATCTGACACCGAATCGCTGATTACCTCGCTGCACGGCTGGTAAGTTTCTATTGCCAGTGGCTGTGCGTGCCTTTTGTTTTTCTTGGTTGCTAAACTACCATGGGAGCATTAGGCTGCAGACTTATAAATCTGCTTTGATGGACAATAATAATGCCAAATGACTTAACAGGGATGCTCGCAAGATTACAGTAACAAAAAAGTGATGTGATGCCCTATGAAATCTAAATAAGAAAAGTGTTAGCGTGCATTCTGTTCCTGAGAAAGTTTTAAAAATTGCAACGGCTGTTTGACTAGAACCTGTGGCTTGCAGGGGCAGATGCAGACCTCTTTGGCTTTTGGCATCACCCCAGGCTACCCTCCTCTTTCCACAGGCCACACCTTGGGTACTCTAGCCTGCCTAGAATGTGCCCTTGAAATCTGATGATGTCTTGTGTTTGTGTGCCTGGATGGAGAATAGAAAGAGGTGTGTGAGCTTGTGTAGAAATTAGCTTACTGCTGCAAAGGTAAAAATTTACATATATTGCCCGCCTACTTTTGCCACCGGCCCCGCCCACCACTGGCACCCAGACTTCAGAAGGAAATGGACATCTCGGAATGAAAACAGGGTTAGAGGCAACCATGGCAAACCACTTTTGACTCTCTTAAAAACTACCAGTCCTCATCCAGCCCAGGTTTTCTTCTTTTCTAGTCTTACCACTAGAGGGCGGGAAGTGTCCACTGATGCAAGGCCACTTTTTAGACTTTGCAGTTGCAATTCAATCATAGGCAAAATTGGGTCTCACAATTAAAGCGGATTTGGTGCTCTGGCACAACAAATGTGCTTCTCTGCCCCATAAAAGCAAAAAAACCAAACAAACCAAAAACTCGACAGCCACAGATTTTTTTTCTGGTCGGAAAACGGGAAATGCATTTTAAAGTGTGGAATAATGGAAACATCATTGGGTGGTGCAACCTCTGTGGACACAACTCAAAATGAATGGTCAATAATCAATCAGGAGGGAGATTCCAAGAGATTTAAAGAAATTATTTATGCATGCCACCACAGCAGCGAGAGTTTTGATTGCTCAAAATGGGGAAAGTGAGACGATACCATCAAAAAAAGATTGGCTGATTAAACTGATGGAATATGCTGAGATGAGTAAACTGACAAGGCAGATAAAGGACCAAGCGAAACAAAAAATTAGTAAAGATTGGGATATATTCAAACAATACCTGAAAGACCACTGTGGAGAATTAAATTTTTTGACTGATTTGACTGATTTAGATTAACTCTTGTAACGAGAAATATCAAATAAAAGCGAAAAAGTTGGTAACCAACGATTTAGATTTATTATGACATGCATTCAACCAAGAACTCCAGAAGACCCAAGTAAGAAGGGGAGGGAAGTCTGAGGTAATTAGAACATCAGTGAGTCGAATGATTAAGAATATATCTTTGTTTTATCTTTATTATGATTTAGACATGTACATCATATGATTTAGACATGTACATTTATCTTTATTATGATTTAGACACATGTACATCAGCAAGAAACTGAAACTTTACACTGTGATTTCATGTTAAGAAGGCATTTTTGTTGTAAAAAAAAAAGATTTTTCTTTTTAAAAAAGTCAATCGTCAGTGATGTTGTATAAACTCCACATAAATTTTGTGCAAACAAATCAAGATGAATGCTCAATAAAGAGATCGTCTGGAAGAGCCTGTACTCTGTTGTTTTCTGTAGGTGGCTGTCGTTTTTCCCACAGGAGAAGACCAAAAAAATAAAATAAAAATGAGTTGGGAAGTCCCTTCTGCGAACAATGGGTGTGCATTGCTTTGTTGTTTATGGCCTCTATGGCTTGTGTCCTCTCTTCAAATGTAAATCACAGCCCAGACTTCCATCACTGGCTAAGAACAACAAAAGGTGGTAGCAGGATAGTTTCTCACAAACAATTGGACACTTCGGCTCATATATCAGCTTCTGAAAGGGCTAGGCCAATGTGAGCATGGAGGATGAGCTCATGGGGACAAGGCCGAGTTTTTTCTGGTTTTCTCCCTTGCAATGATACTGTAGACACCTAAGCACTGCATTTGTGCAAATATTTAGCACCTCGCTAAAATGAAATGTGTCATACTTTGGTTCCTGCTGCTCTCGCTGTTGCTTCTCTGCCTCAAGATTGTTAAGCAGAGCTTTAAGTGCTGCAATAGATGTTTTTAGTAACCAATTTAAATGCTGCAATTAGAGGGTTTTTAAACTGAATGTGGAAGGTGTTTTTGTTTGTCACTACGGTATAGATTTTTGTGTTTTATATTGTAAACCACCCTATGATCCTTGGATGAAGGGCGGCATATAATTTTAATTAAAGAATAAGAATAAAAATCTGTATCCCACCTTTCCTTATCAGAGCTCAAAGCACTGTTAGTTGTACCTCTCTGGTACGTTTTATCCTCACAACCCTGTGAGGTAAGCTGGACTAAGATATAAGTGACTGGCCTAATCATTAAGTAGACTACCTAATCATTAAGTGGGGATTTGAACTCAAGTCTTCACAGGCCTAGTCTAACAACTACGAAATAAACGTTGTGTCATCTGTTTGCGACATGTCCCTGATTATTATTTTTCAGATGCGTTCGGTACAGATTATTAGTTTTCCCTCTTGATTGTTTTGAAAAAAAAGTCATATTGAGTGTTGTTTCTAAAATGGAAGGGGGGGACAAATATTTTTTAAAAATAAAGATAAATAAAGATCATTTTTTTAAAAAAGCCCACATTAACATAAATATTAAAATTGAAACTTTCATAAAGAAAAGCTTCACAAAATACAACATTTCTTATCTTACAAGGAGATAAGTTCTAGAATACGGTAGTTTGTACCCTGGACATTACTATTAATTATGTATTTAGTCACTTGTTGACATATTTAATGAATGAATGAATGAATGAATGAATGTTCTCTAGGGGTCCCTCCTACCTTAGTTATGCTCAACTGGTAGCAGTGATGGGCAGTCAGTTTAATTTCCCATCATGCCCCACTGATGTATCATTCCTCCAGGGCACTGTGGGAAATTTAAATAGCAGGCACCACTAGAGGCGTCAATGCCCCATTGGGGGCATGATGGGAAATTAAAATGGCCGCTTGAAGACCCAGTAGTTGGGATGAGCTGGAACGTGTGCAGAGGAAAGCAATGAAGATGATCAAGGGTCTGGAAACTTTTGGGAAGGACTTAAAAGAGCTGGGTGTGTTTAGCCTGGAAAAGAGGAGACTGAGAAGAGATATGATAGCCACCCATCTTCAGATATCTCAAGGGATGTCACATGGAAGAGGGAGCAAGCTTGTTTTCTCCGGCTCTGGAGGGTAGGACTCGAGGCAATGGCTTCAAGTTACAGTGGTACCTCGGGTTACAGACGCTTCAGGTTACAGACTCCGCTAACCCAGAAATAGTACCTCGGGTTAAGAACTTTGCTTCAGGATGAGAACAGAAATCACACGGCGGCAGCGGGAGGCCCCATTAGCTAAAGTGGTACCTCAGGTTAAGAACAGTTTCACGTTAAGAACGGACCTCCGGAACAAATTAAGTTCTTAACCCGAGGTACCACTGTACAAGAAATGAGAAGGAAGAATTCTCTGACAGTAAGAGCTGTTTGACTGTGGAACAGAAAGGTAGTGGCCTCTCCTTCCTTGGAGGTTTTTCAGCAGAGGCTGGATGGCCACATGTCCTGGATGCTTTAGCTGAGATTCCTGCATTGCAGGTGGTTGGACTCGATGACCCTTGGGTCCCTTCCAGCTCTAAGATGCTATGACACACGGGTGCCTGACAGCTATCCAAGGGCGACAGGTGATGGAGCTGGGATCAGATGGCGAAATCCTGCGTGAAGAACCCTGGCCTCTGGAAAGCCAGGCAAGTGCCTCTTTCCTGGTGTCCCACTGCCAATTTCTTGTCTGGAAAGGAGGAAGCTTGTATGGATCTGGGGGGAATACAGTCAAGCACTGTGCTCACACACCCCACCCCGAGATAGGAGGGGCAGAGCAACAGAGAGAGCAGTGTCCCTTGCAGAGCTCATTTGAGAGTCAGGAAAGGCACCCAATGTCACAAGTTGCACATCAAGCCACCAGCTGCTTGGGGATATGGATTAATTGGAGGGGGGAGACACACAGGCCTCATTGTCAGAGGGATGGCACCAAGAGAGTGGCACGGACACAGCCTCTCTTCAGATCCTCTCTCCAGTCAAGCCCCACGGGGATGGTGTTGCAGGAATTTATGTATAGGTTGGGGGGGGAGGTTGCCCCTCCAGCAGATATCATGCACATGCAGCCCACTACCAAAACCAGCACAATTGCTTTTGTGACTTTTGTGATTTGTCCCCACAAAGCACTTCATCACAGTTTCTTCCTATCTATTCAAAGGGCCTTTGCTGCATGATACCAAAGGCAAGAATTCACTGATAAATGTATCTATGTGTACTGGCTCACTGGGAAAGCTTCAGAAATTCATATAGACATGTGAGCTTAGCTACTCAGCCAGCCCCTCTGCCTGAGTGAAAATCCCTGGCATCCCGATACCTGAGTGCCAGACAGGTAGCCATTCCAGAAACAACAAACCCAGATGAAGACAAAAGGGTGTGATTAACTTGGCTGGGAAACAGGGAAATGTAAATATCCTTTTTGTTACACTTGATGGGTGTTTGGTGGAGGGCAAGGAGAACCATGGGGCAGGGTCAAGGATGCTCAGATTACTGCCACCAGACCTCCCCTTTCATGATATAACCATGATGTATTAGTGATGTAGTTTGGGGGGGGGGGTGTAACATGGGGATTCTCCTGCCAACCTAGCAGTTGGAAAATGCATCAAAGTGCAAGTACATATATAGGTACCACTCCGGCAGGAAGGTAAAGGGTGTTTCTGTGCGCTGCTCTGGTTTGCCAGAAGCGGCTTAGTCATGCTGGCCACATGAACCGGAAGCTGTACGCCGGCTCCCTTGGCCAATAAAGCGAGATGAGCGCCGCAACCCCAGAGTCGGTCACGACTGGACCTAATGGTCAGGGGTCCCTTTACCTTTACCTAACATGGGGATTAGCAGCTAATAAAAGTTTGGGTGCTCTTTTGTTCGGGGCTTCCATCTTGTTCTACCTTGTGGCAGGTGGGAGACCTGTCCTGACAGTCTTCAGTAAAGACCAAGCCTACTGGCTGCTGTTTTGCTCTGGTATTCCTGGCTGGTGTCCTTGTTTTTTGTCCAAGGGAGCCCTCAGATTTCTCCGTTAACAATGGGGTCAAATGCGGCCCTCTAAGGCTCTCTATCTGGACCCTAGGACCCTCCCCAAACTGTCCACGCTTTGCTCCTCCTCAAGTGTTTTTCCCTGGCTGGAAAGTGTCCTTGAATTCAGATAATGCAGTTCGGATGGAGGATGAAGAGCGGGTGAAAAATACTACACAAAACGCGCTACACAAAAGTCAACATTCACATTTATTGCTCTGCTCACTTTTGCCTCATGCTCCACCCACCCCCAGCATCCGGCCCCCAGAAAGTTGCTTAGGAACAGATGTGGCCCTTGGGCTGGAACAAGTTTCCCCACCCTATTGTGTGCCACGTGGGACAGGGCCTGTTCAGCTTGACGGCACTAGCAGTCGTGGCTATTTGAGGGCGGAGGGAGCAATAACACAACGGCATGAAGTCTGAGCTGAACATCTCAGGAGGCCTGGTGGTCTTTTCAGTTCAACTTCTTATTCTTCTGCCTTTCTGTACAGTTTCAGTTTAATGTTGAATCATAGGAACACAAGGTTGCCTTATAGTGAGGAGGATGCTTGGTCAATCTAGCTCAATACTGCGCACACTGACTGGAAGCAGCTCTTCACGGCTTCAAACAGAGGTCTCTTCCAGCCCAACCTGGAGAAGCTGGTGGCCAAAGCAGGACCCTCTGCAGGGACCACCATACCTTTGACTCCCACCCAGCATAATTCCTGATCCAGCTAGCCAGGTGCAGTCTACTCTGACTGGCAGCAGCAGCTCCCCAAGAGAGGGGCCTTTCCAAGTGCAACCTTAACTTGAAGACATTGGAATCCAGAACCTTCTTTGTGCAAAGAAGCACTTGATATACTATTGCCATTCCCAACCCACCCAGCAACTTAGTTTAGAGGACTTACCCAGGGGTAGGGATATGTCAATTTCACCTCTGTTTCTCACTTTCCCAATATTCACTTCTCCACATTTCCAATCAGCTTGCAAGGAGTGCTCAAGGTGCCTGTGTTTCCTTGGCAGAACAACCCTGAGGGAAAATAGACGAATGGAACTGGGGGGGGGGGTCACTTCAGCCTTACAGTGGTACCTCGGTTACATACGCTTCAGGATACAGACTCCGCTAACCCAGAAATACAGTGGTACCTCAGGTTACATACGCTTCGGGTTACATACGCTTCAGGTTACAGACTCCACTAACCCAGAAATAGTACCTTGGGTTAAGAACTTTGCTTCAGGATGAAAACAGAAATCGCGTGGCAGCAGCGGGAGGCCCCATTAGCTAAAGTGGTACCCAAAGTTAAGAACAATTTCAGGTTAAGAACGGAGCTCCAGAACAAATTAAGTACGTAACCAGAGGTACCACTGTAGTACCTCGGGTTAAGAACTTTGCTTCAGGATGAGAACAGAAATTGTGCTGCGGCGGCGCAGTGACAGCAGGAGGCCCCATTAGCTAAAGTGGTACCTCAGGTTAAGAAGTTTCAGGTTAAGAACGGACCTCCGGAACGAATTAAGTCCTTAACCCGAGGCACCACTGTATTTGCAATTGCCGTGAGACATTATTGCTAAGAACAGAAATAACAAGCCCCCCCCCCCATGATTTTTGCTATTTCGGGAGCAAAACTCCAAACATCTACCAAGCTTTGGACAGGGGAAAAACAAAGCTCAGTGGTTAGAGCTCCTTTTCCCCATGCAGAGCACCCCAGGTTCAGTTCCCAGCATCTCCAGGTAAAGGCTGGGAGCGACCCCCACTTGGAACCTGGGAGAGATGCTGCCAGTCAGTGTAGACAATATTGAATTAGATAGAGCATTGTTTTGACTCAACAGCTTGGTAGAGAGCTCATATGAGTTGCTTGAGCCAGGAGAGTAAGGGAAAGCAGATAAAGAAGTCAAATGTCCATCACTAGCTGGCTCCATCACCTCCCAGCTGGGAGTGAGTTGCCTTGCCATGTGGCCCAACTTAAAGAAAAGAAGTCATTTGCCATGACCACTCAAAGTTGATGTTGTACCCTATTTCCGCCCCTCTCCCTTCGGTGGATCTTTCTGGAAAAGCAATTGCTACAGGAAGTAGCTAAAAATAGACAGTCGTTTGCCTCTAGGTGTAATATTCCTTTCTGACCTCATCAGCTCCCCCTCCCCAGCCAAATACAATGCATATAGAAAAGAGAGCGGGGGAAACATACTTTTCTGCGCACAAAGATTGCAAAGCAGTTATTATCATGCTTTGCCTCCGTCACAGACCTATGCCTGTACACACACACACACACACACACACACACACGATTCTCCTGCACTTCCAGTTTCTTCAATAATGACTCGCTAAGGTTCTCTCCAGAGATCTTGCCACATAAAAAATGGAAGATGTCACCCCCAGGTTCTGCATTCCACCCCCACACAAAGAAGACGCACAATCCCATCCCAGGCAAACATATATTGAGAGAGCCGAAAGGAAGAAGGAGATTTTATTTATTTTTTAAAAAGGCAATCCAAATTCACCAGTAAAATATGTCTTCAGCAGCTGCCGTACCAGAATATTCCCTCAACCCATTAAGCTCAATATTGGCCACATAAGGGCTGAGGACCCTTGTACACTCCAGATGTTGTTGAACTTCACCTTCAATCAGCTGATGGAGTTGGGGTTCAGCAACATCTGGAAGGTGCCAGATTGGGTGCCAGTCGCCTGACTCTACAGGGTGTCAAGCAGGAATCTTCCCTAGATATAACCCGATATTTATGCTGAGGATTGAAGTCGGGTCTTTGTGGGTGCAAGGGAACATCCCAAGCAGTGCATTAGCCCTGTAGAGCTCAGTATGGCCCTACACCGATTGGGAGGAAGTCTCCAATGTTTCAGGCATGAGTCTTTAAGAACATACACAGAGTAATTTAGCCGGATTCAGCTCAAAGGCCTATCTAGTCCAACATTCTCTTCTCACAGTGTTCAGGCCTATGAGCAGAACGTAAGAAGAGGCTGCTGGATCAGGCCAATGGTCCATCTAGTCCGGCCTCCTGTCCTTGCAGAGACCAACCCGATGCCTGTGGGATACCTGCAAACAGGACCTGAGCCCTCTGTGGCTTCTAGCGCCTGGTCATTCAAAAGCATTATTGCCTCCAACCAGAGGCAGAGAGCATTGCCATCAGGGCTAGTAGCTTTATCTTCCAAAAAATTGTCCAATCCTCTTTGAAAGCCGTCCAAACTGGTGGCCATCCCTGCCTCATGTGGAAGTGAGTTCCATAGTTTAACCACTTGCTGCATAAAGAAGTACTTTTGTCTCTTCCCTGCCTCATTTGATGGCCACCTCGTTCTGGTGTGGTTGAGAAAGGGAGGGGACCTTTTCTCTGTCCGCGTTCTCTATACCACGCATAACTTTACACACATCTATCATAGAATTGTAGAGTTGGAAAGGGACCCTGAGGATCATCTAGTCCAACCCTCTGCAATGCAGCTGTCCCATACAGGGATCGAACCTGCAACCTTGGCAATATCCGAGACCTTCCATGTGCAGAGCTTGCCATCTGCAACTGAGCACTGAGCCCTCCCCAGCAGCAAAATGTAGGCTGAAATCATATATTTCATTTCCGAGTCTCAAAGGCAGATTTCTCCCCAGAACAGAACCAAACCTTTGCTGATTTTTAAACTCTCAGTTTGAAAATCCAACCAACTCATGCTCACAGCACATCCACCGAAACTAATAGTCTTTTCTAGGGCTTCATCGGCATATACATTTAGAGCATCATGCCACTTTAAGGCTTGCGCCCAAAAAATCCTGGGAACTGTAGTTTAAGGGTGCCGAGTGCTGTTAGGAGATCCCATTTTCCTCCACAGAGCTACTATTTCCAGAGTGGTTTAACAATCTTCAGGGAATTATGGGAATTATAGCTCTGGGAAGGGAATAGGGGTCTCCTAAATACTCTCAGCACCCTTAGCAAACTACAGTTCCCAGAATTATTTGGAGGAAGCCATAGCAGTTTAAAGTGGTATCACAGTGCTTCAATGCCTGGTGTGAAGCCTACCAGTTTCAATGGGTTGTAGCCAATGGCAGTCCTACTCAGAGTAGCCCCATTGATCTGGATGGACATGACTAATGTAGGTTGGTTAATTCCAGGGTGTCTCCTCTGAGTAAGGCTTAGTTGGCTTCCAACCCCCGACAACTCACCTCCAGAGGCCTTCCCAGTTTTTCCTCATCCACATTTCAGCTTTCCAAATCGACCGAAATGTGAGCAAGTCCCAATCAATGTATTAGGAATTGCCTGGTTCTCTTGTGCTTTATTGTTGCTACGGAGTTCCAAAAACAGTGTTTTCAGTTCCTTCATGTCTTTCCTGCCTCCTTTGTATCGTTGACAGACATGTGCACACATCGATAAAAACCTGCGGAATCCAGATTCTTCTTTTTCTGGATAGTCTCTGACATGCATCAAACTAAAGAATCAACATATGCAGCAAAAAGGATCAGGGAATCCATTGGGACAAGGTGAGAAGCTGCTGCAAGGGAGGGAGGCAAGTGCTGAACTTAGCCCATGATGGGTCATCAGTTGCCTATGTTTACCTTTCCACTGTGTGAATTCAAAACAATGGGGACTAGAAACCCAGTTTGTTTTTTAAAGAGGGTTTCAGGAATTCAGCAGATTCTCTGCTTTGATTCAAAAATGTGGGGAACCTAATTGGGTTGGGCCCTTACTCAAAAGAGAGAAGCTGCGTTTTCTGGACACACAAAATTGGATGCTTTGACAGCAGAGCACCCTGGCCACAGAAGGCTAGTGAAAAAGAAATGCAATGGAATTGGAAACCCAAGTTTAAACCTCACTTCCACTCCTACAGCTCCAATATTAGTTGGTTGGAGGGGAAATGATTGCTTCCAAGAGTGTTCCTCATTTGGCCTCCTAACCCAATACAGGTTCCCAAAATCAGATGCCCAGTATGATGTCGCACATATCCCTCACCAGGGGTGGGGAGGAAGGAAGCATGCAAAAACATGTACAAATCCAAAGGCTGAGCACTCTTTACATATAAATAAATATCTATGCTGAGGCGTACATATACAGAGAGATTTTGCTCCCTCTGCCCGGCTTGAGACATTTCCCCCCCTTTGCCACTTCGAACAAGTATTAAAAGCCGCTGTAGCCTGCACAACCTCACTTCTACGCGTAAGAACCATCAAGCCACCCTGATCCCAGAGGTGGGTTGCTGGGTGTCCGGCAGTCGTTCAACAGGTTGGCACAGGTTGAGCAGGGAGCGAGAAGCCTCAGAGGGTCCGCAGAAGAATAAAAATGGCTGGAACAGATGGGTCGGTTTGGTCAAAACCGGGCCATAAGACATCAGTAAGGTAGAATCGGCATGTCAACAATGTTCATCCCTTGGCAAGGACTAACCATTCTGCCATGTGCCGTCTATCAACCTTGAATGTACTGAGTGCAGCCCGATGAGGGAACAAAGCAGCAGAGGAAACAACATGTTCCCGACGCCCACTCCCTCAAATCCATCACCGGGGAGGAGAGTCTGCAAAATAAACCCATGCCCGCAGGATCCTTAACAAGGCAGGCAAGACGACTCTTTGGGGGGCTCCCAAGATGGCAAGTCCTCCCGGTAGTGGGGCCCCCTCAAAGTGCAGACCCTCAGCTCGTGGGCTAAAGTCAGCACCTCGGGCCTCTCCCTGCTTTTGACCGTCTTGCGGCCCCGAGTGGTGTCAGCGTTGTGGCAGAGGGCCGTGCCATCAGTCGTGCCGATGGCCAAGGTGGTGCAAATGGACAGTCGGACGCCTACAGCACCGGTGGCAGCCCCAGCGGCAGCGCTGGCGCAGCTGCTCAGGTTGGTGCCGGTCCTGCCGTTTGCAGAGCTGGCTGCGCAGCTGCAAGGGGCGCCCGAGGCCCCTTCCTCCCTGTCCGCTTTCTCCTCTTCCTCCTCCTCCTCCTCCTGGATGGCGCTCAGCCTAGGGGCGCTGCGTCCCCTGTCCGCCGGAGGCCTGTAGGGGCATTTGCAGTTGAGGAGTTTGCGTAGGGGCACCAGGGGGATGATGGCTTCTCCCAGGAGTTGCTGCTGGATGTGGCGCGAGTCGTTTTGCCTCTTGAGCCGCTTGAACTCGTTGAAGGCCGAGTGGGACGTCTGGTAGAGCAAAAGAGCCATGGCGTGGGCCTTCTCAGCCTTGGAGAGCAGGACAGCGTGGCACCGCAAGACCACTGCTTTGTTCTTGACCTGGTGCCGGTAGACCCAGGCGAAGACCTTGGGGTGCCGCCCATCGGCCACGCAGTAGGTGATGCGGTGCAGCAGGTAGGCATGGCTCGGCCGCCGGAGCCCTTTCTCGCAGGGGCTCATGCGGATGCCATGGGGGCCGAGGGTCAACTTCATCTTGGTGCTGCGGCTCCCAAATTCGCTCTTGGCCCAGATCTTCTCTACCGCCTCTTCGGTGCAGCCCTCGCCTTTCGCCTGCAGGGTGACAGCGTTGCCCAGGTACCAGGCTGTGTAGGTGGGGTCTTCCTTGTTCAGCTCCACTTTCTGGCGCTTGCTGCGGAAGACGCTGCCCAGCCGCTCCAGGGGGCACTCAGGCCACAGGTCCGGGCAGGAGCGAACAAAGTTGGACAGCAAAGAGGCGTAGCTCAAGCCGGGACCCAAACTCTTGCTCTTGCCTTTGGCCTCATTCTCCTCCACCAGGACAAACTTGCTCCGGCGCCAGGGCAGCATGGCAGCCATGGTGGGCAGCGGAGAGGTCCCAACCCAGGCACGCAACCCCTTACCTAGGGGCAAGGCTTCTCTTGCAGCTGCGGGGCAGGGCGGGTACACATCCCAGGAAGAATCAGCCTAGGCGGATGCTGGCTAATGCAAGAGTGGTTGGGATGTTGGGCTAGGACCCGCAAGACCAGGGTTCAAATCCCTGCTCAGCCATGGAGCTTGCTGGGTGACCTTGGGAGCCAAGCCTAACCTACCTCACAGGGTTGTTGTGGGGAATTACTGAGGAGGAAGGAGAGCCATATAGGTGGCGCCTTGAGCTCCTTGGAGGGTATGGTGGGGTGTAAATGCCATATATCAGTATAGCAATACTATGCCTGATCTCGGCCAGCCTCCCTGGTGCCCTGCTCCTACCAAGAAAGGGGGCGCCTTGTTTCCATCCTTGGGGGCGAGAGTTCAATTCTCCCCTCTTAGGAGCAAAGCCCTTGCCGGATCCTCCCGGTGCTCCTCGGCATGTGTGAATGCCAAAGACGTGTCCAGCCCCACTCCGTCTTGACCTACTCCTCCTACCCACTGTAGGGGGGCGGGGGCAGTTCTCTCTCTATGTTCGGGAGCCCCGATTTCTGCACTGTTTAAAGAGGCAGCTGGTGTGTTATTGAAGCGGGGCGGGGGGGGGGCGCCGAGATGAAATATTCCTTTTCTGTCTCCCTGCCTGCTGGTCTCCCTTTCCCAGCCCGGAGATCCCTCCAGGACTCACCCACCGGGCGCCGGACTGGGGTTCCCCCACCCCGCGAAGGGAGCCCTGGCCCCAATTCCCCGTCCCCGTCTTGCCTCGGAGACAGCTCCCGATTCGGATCAGCCTTTCTGCCTGCGAGAAGCCGCGATCGAAGGAGGGGAAGCAGAGGCGGCGGCGGAGTCCCTGCGCGCTGCTCCGCCTCCCTCTCCGGTCGCGCGCAAAGCGCTGCGCGCGCGATTCGAGCGCTCTCCCGGGCCGCCCGCCTTCCCGTCTCCCTACACGTGTAGGCGCGCGCACGTGTGAAAGGAGTGCGTCTCAGAGCAGACGCGCGTGGCGTCGGTCCTCCTCCGGGGGCGGGGAGGTAACCGAGAGGAAGATAAACACCTACTCACCACCCGGCCTGTCAAATTCACACTCAGGGGCTGTTGGCCTCAATAGCTCCGCGCCTCCGCCCCTTCCCCCACCCGCGGGCGCTCGGCTCGGATCTATTAGAATTGTAGGGGGCCAAAAGGGGTCATCTAGTCCAACCCCCTGCATGGCAGGATCTGAAGGAAAAAGTAAAAGTCAGAACGCACTGGGGACCCAAGGATGCTTTGTGTTGTGTGGGGAATGGTCCATCACTCCCATCTTCTGCCTTGGTATGGCATCCACGCCACGAGTGTCAGGCCTGTTGCCCTCCGATGTGGTTGGACTTTTAGTTCTCATTAGTCCCAGCAGCCAGCACGCCCAGTGGTCAGGGATGATGGGAGAGGATGTTGCTGATAGGAGCTCCAGTCCTACTACATCTGGAAGGCACCAGAGGTGGGGAATATCTCTGGGTCTCCAGGCGTTGCTGAATTCCAGCTCCCATCATCCTTCAGCACCTGCTCCCTTGGTTCTTCATCCCCTCCCCCGCCCAGTTGACTCTGGTCTTTTTTTCGGGGGGGGTGTGTCTAGGTCTTTTTTGTTTCACATGTTTCACCACACCCCCTTGCCGATTTGAGCAGATTTGGAAAGGCAAAGGTGGCCCACAGTAGCCCCCACCAAGACCTGGCATAGCCTCAAAGGGGTTCACCTCCATTGTTTCTGGGAGCCACTGTTCTGGTAATAACTGAAAGGAGTCAAATCCTGAGCTTTGACTCATTCAGAGATGCAATAGACAGCCTCCCCCTCCCTGCAGAGGCTGATTCAAAGGATGCTGAGATTGGAACACTTACTCATACAGAGACCACCAGAGATTCTGCACCTCCACTTCAAGAAGTCAGACTCACAGGACTTCTGGCAACCTAGGCTGCTATTGTGCACAGGGCTTCACATTGTACTCAACAGACCTTGCATCTGAGTGTTGTTGTTTAGTCGTTTAGTCATGTCCGACTCTTCGTGACCCCATGGACCAGAGCACGCCAGGCACTCCTGTCTTCCACTGCCTCCCACAGTTTGGTCAAACTCATGCTGGTAGCTTTGAGAACACTGTTCAACCATCTCGTCCTCTGTCGTCCCCTTCTCCTTGTGCCCTCCATCTTTCCCAACATCAGGGTCTTTTCCAGGGAGTCGTCTCTTCTCATGAGGTGGCCAAAATATTGAAGCCTCAGCTTCAGGATCTGTCCTTCCAGTGAGCACTCAGGGCTGATTTCCTTCAGAATGGATAGGTTTGATCTTCTTGCAGTCCATGGGACTCTCAAGAGTTTCCTCCAGCACCATAATTCAAAAGCATCAATTCTTTGGCGATCAGCCTTCTTTATGGTCCAGCTCTCACTTCCATACATCTCCTGGGAAAACCATAGCTTTAACTGCTTCTGAGTAGGCATGCATAAACTGGTGCAGCAAATGAATTTGCTTTTCACACCATGCTGACAATCATACAGATGAGTGGGGGGAGGGAAAGACTCAACAGTGGGGACCTGTTGGACTTCTGCCTGCCTATTATCCCAAACTGCCCAGGATCTATGGAGAATAGGGCTCTGGGGGAAGCAATCACTGTATGCATTAAAATAATAATGGATTCATCCATTGGATGTGCTGTTTCAAAGCAATTATGTCAAAATTTGCATTGCTATTAATAAGATGCAAAGCTCTTCACTCACCCAGGACTAAATTAGCTTGTTCTGAGCTGATGTATTTTCACCATGCGTCATGCTATTTTAAATCATGTTCAGGTTTGTAGCTATCTAACTGCAAAGGGGGCGGCTATCTTGATTCCATCTTTTGAACACTAGGTTCCTGGTTCTCACAGGTGCTGAAATGTTATTCCTCTGAACTACTAGGCTGGTGTTCTTAAAAACAACAACACAAAACTCCACCATTTGGCAATAAGCAAATATTTCTCTCCCCTCCTCCTCTTTCAGATATCATATGTGCAAGCAGTGATCTGGACAAATAATGGACTTGATATAAGACAGATTCCTGGGTCCCTGTATTAGGAAAATCTGCTTGCCCTTCTGCAAGAGAGGTTCAGTGGTGGAGCCCTGACTTTCCACGAAGACACCTCGCTTGACAGCAGTACATTTGAAACAAATCTAGAGGTCTTAGCAGCCCACAAGCTGAACATGAGCCACCAGTGTGATGCAGCAGCAAAGGAGACTAGTGCAATTCTAGGCTGCATCAACAGGTCTAAAGTCCAGATCAAGGCAAGTCATGATTCTGCTCTATGTTGCCTTAGTCAGATGCCACCAGGAATAATTTCTGGTTCTGGACACTACAATTGAAGAAGGATACTGACAAGCTGGAACATGTACAGAGGAGCTTTATGTGGAATGGTTGAGAGAGTTGGGCATGTTTAGCCTAGAGCAGTGTTTCCCAACCGGTGTTCCGCGGCACACTAATGTGCCGCGAGACGTTGCCTGGTGTGCCGTGGGAGGGAGGCGGGCGAGGCGGGCGGCGAGAGGCGGGGCGGCGACGGCGAGGAGAGGCCGCCCAGCGCGGGGCTCTCGCCGTCTGCCTGCCTGGCTGCCTGCGTGGCGCTGACGTCACGGGGCTGTAACACATTTTCCCGGGTGCATGCATGCGTTGCAAAACCCCAGCGCCTCCTGCTGCACCGTGCAGAGGAACCGCTCAAGCAGCAGAGAGAGAGGCTTGCAAATGGGAGACAGAAAATCGAACCTGCTCGCCATCTGCATTGCATCCGCCGACGGCGCAAGTTGCAGAGCGGAGTAGTATTTTGGGGGGTGGGTGGGGGTGTTTTTAGGGGCTCCGCACGTGAGAAAGTTCAGGCTGCGCTCCGTTTTGCGCGCTCCTTCGCCGGATCGAAGGCTTCGCCACGCGCTTTTCTTTGAACCGCTTTGATTATTGTTAGCGTTATTTTCGCTAGAGTTTAACCTGGGCTGGGATTCGGATTCGGGGCAGAGCGCAGCGGAAAGGAATGGGCAGGTGTGGAATGGCAGGAGTGCCTCTGAGCATGTGCAGAGCGCCCTTCCTTCGCCGTTTGGATAGCGCGAAAGCCGGGTGGTAGCACAGCGTGCGGGGGGACTCGCCGAGCAAGCCGCTCAGTTTGGGGGCGGCTCATGGGCTGGTGAAACAGTCTTCATGGGCCGCATCCTGCCTGTGGGCCCCACGTTGCCGGCCCCTGGCTTAGGACATGAAAAAAAATACATAGCTGCAACATAACAAAAGTAGTCATAAACAATGAATAACACATTAAAAAAAAATACACAGCCAATTTGAAGATTTTCCACATAAATCAAAATAGGATCTCAAATATAGGTACAAAAAAGCTGCCCGGTTCTGAGCCAGCTGCAGTTTCCAAAACGTACACTTTGAGCAATTACAAATTAAAAGACACAAGGGAGGCCGGGCTGAGAGGATTCCAACCCACGTCCGCCCCCGCTGCTTCCTTCAAGTGGCGTCCTGGGCGAGGACAACATTTGACGGCCCCTCCCTCAAATATCCCTCATTTTCGCAATAATTCATTTTGGTACAGCTGCTTTTTCCAACGGATCTGTTCAGTGTTGTTATTTGCGCCCCTCTGCCGCCAGCAGCGTCCCAAATACAGTGCTGCTCCCCTCCTTAGGATGCCAAGCACTCTGAATTGGGAAGTGGCCCCCTTGGGAAGAGGGAGGCTTGCCTCCAAGTAAAGATGAATATGAAAGTACCTTGTTTTTAAGGGCCTGCGGTGGTGGTGGCTGTTTAACATCCAAGGCTCACAACACAAAAACACAAAACTACATTACATGGGACAGTGGTACCTTGGGTAACTGAGGCTTCAGGTTACAGACTCCACTAACCCAGAAATATTACCTTGGGTTAAGAACTTTGCTTCAGGATGAGAACAGAAATCGTGCTCCAGCATTCAATTTTTTTTATAATAATTAAAAAAGGTAACTACAGCTTTGAAACTTCCCAGGAGAGGCCGCCCAGCGCGGGGCTCTCGCCGTCTGCCTGCCTGGCTGCCTGCGAGCTTGGCGGGCAGCGCCTCCGTCCGCAGCGCCTGCCTCACAGCTCTCATTCCCTGCCCCTGCCAAAGCTCACCCAGCCAAGCCGCGCTCTCCTTCCTGCCTCGCTTTGCTGCCTCCTCCCCCCCACCCCCAAAGCTTGGAGGTTCCCCGGCGCCGGCCCACAGGTTTGACCCCCTTCTCACACCTGTTCGCGCTCCTTGCACGGAATGGGGCGGATGGGGAGGAACGGGGCTCGCCGCTGCCTCCGCTCGCCCTCCCCCCCTCCGCCGGCGGTCCCGCGATTCTTGGCTTTTTGGCGGTTGGCACAGAAGGAAGGCAAGGGGGGGGAATTGAAACTTACACTTTCGTGCGTCCCTTCCCGGCGTGACGCTGCGCGCTGACGTCACGGGGCTGTGGTGTGCCTCGATATTTTTTCATGAAACAAGTGTGCCTTTGCCCAAAAAAGGTTGGGAAACACTGGCCTAGAGAAGAGGAGACCGAGAGATGATAAGATAGTAAAGGTAAAGGGACGCCTGACCATTAGGTCCAGTGGTGACCAACTCTGGGGTTGCAGCGCTCATCTCGCTTTATTGGCCGAGGGAGCCGGCGTACAGCTTCCGGGTCATGTGGCCAGCATGACTAAGCCTCTTCTGGCGAACCAGAGCAGCGCACGGAAACGCCGTTTACCTTCCCGCCGGAGTGGTACCTATTTATCTACTTGCACTTTGACGTGCTTTCGAACTGCTATGTTGGCAGGAGCAGGGACTGAGCAACGGGAGCTCACCCTGTCACAGGGATTCGAACTGCCAACCTTCTGATGGGCAAGTCCTAGGCTCTGTGGTTTAACCCACAGTGCCACCCACATCCTTTAAGATAGTAAGGGTAAAGGGACCCCTGACCATTAGGTCCAGTGGTGACTGACTCTGGGGTTGCAGCGCTCATCTCGCTTTATTGGCCGAGGGAGCCGGCGTACAGCTTCCGGGTCATGTGGCCAGCATGACTAAGCCGTTTCTTCAGATATCTGAAGGCCTGCCACATGG